TTAGTAGAGGTAGGGTTTCTCCATGCTGGTCAGGCTGGTCTCAAACTCCTGACCTAGATGATCTGCCCACCTTGGCCTCTCAAAGTATTGGGATTACAGGAGTGAGCCACTCCACCCAGCCTTCTTTTTTTAAGTAATAGAGACAGAGGTCTCACCATGTTGCCCAGGCTGGTCTCAAACTCCTGGGCATGGGAATTCATCGCCGTTGGTCTCCCAAAGTTCTGGGATATACAGGCGTGAGCCACCTTACCGGGGGTTGTTTATTTTTCAACTTCATTTTAAAAATACTTCCTTTGGTTGATGAGTTCTCCACTTTCATTTCCTCCTTCTTCTAATAGACACTAATTCTAATATGTTAATATCTATCTTTGAACTTAAATGTGTTCTTATAAAATATGTGGTGTTTTTGTGTGTATGTTTTTAAATTCACATAATTAGTATTTTGCCAGGGACCTTTTTCTTTTCTGTCTTTTTAAAAGTTCAGCACAAAGCTTTAAAAAAATCTATATTGTTATATATCAAGCAAGTTGCATTTATTTTAGGTTGGTGCAAAAGTAATTGCAATTTTCACCAGTACTTTAATGGGAAAACTGTAATTACTTCTGTATTAACCTAATAACTGCTGGATGAGGTGTTTCTGTCTCAGGCCTAGGATTTTAAACTTCCCTTTACCACATAAGCATTGCAGTGAACAACCTTGTACACACAACCTCACGCTCATTTCTGTGAGAATGTCTCGTGTATATTTTACCAGGAGCAAAATTGTTGGACCATAAGGAAACTTTTTATTAAATTTCATTAGGTACTGCCATATTGTCCCCCCAGAATGATCGTAGGAGTCACCTACCAACAGTGTTTGTATTTCTCATATTCTTGCCAATACTTATTATTCATCATTTTAACTCTTTTTTTTTTTTTTTGAGATGGAGTTTTGCTCTTGTTGCCCAGGCTGAGTGCAGTGGTACAATATTGGCTCACTGCAACCTCTGCTTCCTGTGTTCAAGCGATTCTTCTGCCTCAGTCTCTCGAGTAGCTGGGATTACCGGCGCCTGCCACCATGACCAGCTAATTTTTCGTATTTTTAGTAAAGACAGGATTTCATCATGTTGGCCAGGCTGGTCTCCAACTTCTGGCCTCAGGTGATCCACCCACTTTCGCCTCCCAAAGTGCTGGGATTACAGGCATGAGCCACCACTCCTGGCCTCATCATTTAAATTCTTAAAACGCTTCAATATTTCACAGCTATTATAGAGGACTAATACAACAGCTTGATAATTTTTTTTTTTTTTTTTTGAGACAGAGTCTCACTCTGTTGCCAGGCTGGAGTGCAGTGGCGCAATCTTGGCTCACTGCAACCTCCACCTACCCATCCCAGGTTTAAGCAATTCTCTGCCTCAGCTTCCCAAGTAGCTGGGATTACGGACATGTGGCACCACGCCCGGCTAATTTTTGTATTTTTAGTACAGACAGGGGTTTCACCATCTTGGCCAGGCTGGTCTTGAACTCCTGACTTTGTGATCCATCTGCCTTGGCCTTCCAAAGTGCTGGGATTACAGGCATGAGCCACTGTGCAGCTAGCTTGATGATTTTTAAAATATAGTATATGTCTGTGAAACCACCACCTGGGACACTAGATTGAGGTAGGTGCCCTGTGGAGGTAGGGTGGGCACAGTGGGGTTGGCCACAGGCAGGTTTCCCTGGTAGCAGGACCTCAATAGCAAACATCTTTGAAGGGAACCAGGAACAAACATGGAGAGGATAATAGATACTACCGAGGTTCCTAAAAATAACCAGAAAACTTTACAAGGAGGTGGATGACATTGTGAATGTAACCTCTGTTTTTCCAGGTTGGAGTGGGCTGGGGAGCATGTACTAACTTTCTGCCTGGCCCCTAGATGACATGCTGCTTGAACCTAAGGACTATATCTTATACGTCGTTATATTTCCAGTTTCTAGAATATTTCATGGCCCAGGATAAATACTCACTTAATGTTTTTTTGAATAAAGAGCTACATTCTCTTTTTTTTTTTGAGATGGAGTTTCGCTCTTGTTACCCAGGCTGGAGTGCAATGGCGCGATCTCGGCTCACCGCAACCTCTGCCTCCTGGGTTCAGGCAATTCTCCTGCCTCAGCCTCCTAAGTAGCTGGGATTACAGGCACGCAACACCGTGCCTAGCTAATTTTTGTATTTTTAGTAGAGACGGGGTTTCACCATGTTGACCAGGATGGTCTCGATCTCTTGACCTCGTGATCCACCCGCCTCGGCCTCCCAAAGTGCTGGGATTACAGGCGTGAGCCACCATGCCCGGCTGAGCTACATTCTCTTTACATAATCTCTTTTATATACAAAATGAATTTTCTCCCATGTTGAAATGATGTTTATTTTGCCTTTTCATCCCACATTCCAGCTAGCACTTAGGTCTAGACGTCCCTATCGATCTTGGCTAAGGCGTTTTCAGCCATTGCATCTCAGTTTCAATATAATCTTCACAACTTGGTCCCGATCTTTTTCATCCTGGTCTTACAGTGCTTCACCATGTGCACCTGCAATATCTGGGTCTTAGGACATGTTGTTGAATCACAATAGCTCTGGGCTTGGTTCCTGTAATGCCTTCTACTCCTAATCAGCCCTGGGAATGCCGACTCACCCAGAGTCCCAGATAAAATATCACCTCTTTAGGTGTAACTTCTCCAGTCCCTCAGGCAGAATTAGTCACCTCCTTGCTTATTTCCTCAGTACTTTGTTCTCTTATAGCCCTTACCTTGAGGTGTCCTGATTCCTCTCTTAACATGTTTCTTCTGCATTGAAGGGAGGTCATCTCATGAATAGGTTTATCTGGGTCCTTATTTATTTACTTACTAATATATATTTTTGGGACAGGGTCTCACTCCGTTGCCAAGGCTGGAGTGCGGTGGAACAATCATAGCTCACTGCAGCCTTGGTCTTCTGGGCTTAAGGGATCCTCCTGACTCAGCCTCCTCCTAAGTAGCTGTAACCACAGGCATGCACCACCATGTCTGGCTAGTTTTTTAAAAATTAATTTTTTGCAGAGACGGAGGTTCCACTATGTTTCCCAGGCTGGTCTTGAACTCCCGGGCTCAGGCGATCCTCCCACCTCGGCCTCCCTAAGTACTGAAATTACAGATATGCTCCATAACGCATCTAGCCAGTCTGGTTCCTCATTGATGAGCATAGTACCTACCTCACAGTGGGTGCTTATATTATTTATGATTCTCCACAGAAACAGAAGTATTAGGATTAGTCTCAAGGAATTGGTTCATATGATTGTGGGGGCTGGCAAGTCTGAAACTTGGAGGCTGGAAATTCTGGTACGAGCTGATATTGCAGCCTTGAGTTGAAAAATCTCATGAAAGCCAGCAGCCTGGAAGGTCAGGTTGTTTCTTTGTAGAGGCAGAATTGCGTCTTTTTCAGAGAACCTCAGTCTTTGCCCTTAAAGCCTTCAACTGATCGAATGAATCTTTATTGAAGTAATCTGCTTTAACTTAAAGTCAGTTGATTATAAATATTAATTATATCCACAAATACCTTGACAGCAACATGTCGGCAAACCTTTGACCAAACAACTCGTCACCGTAGACTAGCCAACTGGATACATGAATTAATCATCACAGTGCTTAAGAGATGTTTGTTGGCCTGGCATGGTGGCTCAAGCCTGTAATCCCAGCGCTTTGGGAAGCCGAGGCGGGTGGATCACGAGGTCAAGAGATCGAAACCATCCTGGTCAACATGGTGAAACCCTGTCTCTACTAAAAATACAAAAAATTAGCCGGGTATGGTGGCGCGTGCCTGTAATCCCAGCTACTCGGGAGGCTGAGGCAGGAGAATTACCTGAACCCAGGAGGTGGAGGTTGCGGTGAGCCGAGATCGCGCCATTGCACTCCAGCCTGGGTAACAAGAGTGAAACTCCATCTCAAAAAAAAAAAAAAAAAAAAAAAAAAAGAAATGTTTGTTGCATAAATAAATGAATAGATTTATTCATTCAACACAATAAATGTTACACAAGTTCAGAGAAAAGAGCAATGGGCTTTGGCATGGATTTACAGACTTACAATGTTCTTAACAAGTAATAGAATAATAATATTTTGTTCATTGAGCAGGATGCCATCAGAATGCTCTCCAAGAAACAGAGAGAATATATACATTTGTGAATTAGACAAATTTAGATGCATGAACACGTGAAGTATATTAACCCAATTACTTTTATTCTAGATGGGGGAAATATGGCATTAATAAACTTTGATCAAAATTATTTATTTTACTATTGTTATGTTACCAATAAAAGCATTTTAAGAGGCAATTAAGAAGGCTTTGAAGTGGTTTTGTTATTGTTGTTGTTGTTGTTGTTTTGAGACGGAGTCTTGCCCAGGCTGGAGTGCAGTGGTGTAATCTCAGTTTACAGCAACCTCTGCCTCCGGGGTTCAGGCAATTCTCCTGCCTCAGCCTCCTGAGTGGCTGGGATTACACGTACGCACCACCATGCCCAGCTAATTTTTGTATTTTTGGTAGAGACAGGGGTTTCACCATGTTGGTCAGACTGGTCTTGAACTCCTGACCTTGTGATCTGCCCAAGTGCTGGGATCACAGGTGTGAGCCACTGCACCTGGCCTTTTTTTAAAAAATAAGATACAGGGTCTTGTTCTGTCACCCAGGCAGTAGCAGGATCATACCTCACTGCAGCCTGGGCTCAAGCGATCCTTCCACCTGAGCCTCCCCAGTAGCCAGGAATACAGGCGTGTACCACCATGGCCAGCTAATTTTTTAAAACTCTTAGCCTCAAGCAATCCTCCTGCTTTGGCCTTTCAAGGAGCTGGGATTACGTGAGCCACCATGACCCACCCTTGAAGCAGATCTTTATACAGATTAAAATTGGTTAATTCAGGCCAGGCGTGGTGGCTCACGCCTATAATCCCAGCACTTTGGGAGGCCAAGGCGGATGGATCACGAGGACAAGAGATGGAGACCATCCTGGTCAACATGGTGAAACCCCATCTCTACTAAAAATACAAAACTAGCTGGGTGTGGTGGCACGCACCTGTAGTCCCAGCTACTCGGGAGGCCGAGGCAGGAGAATTGCTTGAACCCAGGAGTCGGAGGTTGCGGTGAGCCAAGATCATACCATTGCACTGCAGCCTGGTTAACAAGAGCGAAACTCCGTCTCCAAAAAAAAATGATTCATTCAGAATGTTCATCTCCAAGGTTTGACTAAGCCGGGAAACCAACAAGGTACAGGAAGGGGCAGTATTGAGGGCTGGTGGTTAAGGGGTTTAATATGGTGAGAATGGGTCCTCCCTTTATAAATGGTGTTTTCCAGGCTGGACTCTTTCCTTCAAGTGGCTCAGGAGGCAACAGTGAGTAGATTGGGGGCTTTTATAGGAGCCTCAGTTTCCTCATCTGTCAAATGGGCATACCAATAATGTCAGATATAGGTTATATAAAATTACAGATATTCAACTGTTTTTTGGTTGACAGAAATGGCAATTTCATATGATTAGAACAAGTGGGTTAGATATTAATTGGAGGAATAGATGGGATAGAGGTATTGTAGGGGATCAATCTTAATTAACAGGTTTAGGCTTGGGTTGGGGGCTGAGGTGAACTCTGGCCTGAAGAGCCAAAGGTAGCTCTGAGGCTTTCTATTTTTTTTTTTTTTTTTTTTTGACATGGAGTCTAACTCTGTCAACCATGCTGGAGTTCATTGGCATGATCTTGGCTCACTGCAACCTCCGCCTCCTGGTTTTAAGCAATTCTCCTGCCTCAGCCCCACAAGTAGCTGGGAGTACAGGCATCTGCCAACACACCCAGCTAGTTTTAGTAGGGACAGGGTTTCACTGTGTTGGCCAAGCTGGTCTTGAACTCCTGATATTATGATCTACCCACCTCTGTCTCCCAAAGTGCTGGGAATACAAGCGTGAGCCACCATGCCTGGCCGCTCTGAGGCTTTCAATTTAGCTCCTGGAGCAGGCAGACAGAGGACAGTGAGACAGCTTCAGCTCTCGGCTCCAGTCAGTGGAGCTGCTGTCTCTTTAGCAAGACCTGGTTTTTTGTTTTGTTTTGTTGCCCCCCCCGCCCCCACCAACAAATATTCTGGGTAAAAAGAATCCCAGAGTTGGCTAGGTGTGGTGGCTCATACCTGTGATCCCAGCATTTTGGGAGGCAGAGTCAGGCGGATCACCTGAGGTCAGTAGTTCGAGACCAGCCTGGCCAACATGGTAAAACCCTGTCTCTACTAAAAATACAAAGAATAGCCAGATGTGGTGGCAGGCACCTGTAATCCCAGTACTTGGGAGGCTGAGGCAGGAGAATTGCTTGAGCCTGGGGGACAGAGGTTGTGGTGAGTGGAGATCTCACTGCTGCACTCCAGCCTGGGCGACAGATTGAGACTTTGTCTTAAAAAAAAAGGATTAATTTTCTTGTTATACCCCTAACTGTACAGGGAGAGCTAAATGAAAGGAATTGAAGTTATCAAAAGCCAGACAGGAGGAGGAAAAAGTGAGAGGCAAAAGGGTGGGGAAATCTTTAAACTGGCTTATCAATTCCCCAACTATTCATATCAAAATTAAGTCACTACTAGTTGAATAAATGAATGAACACCTCCTTTAATTCTGATAACACCTCTACTGGTGTTACTATCCCACTTTAAAGAGGAGGAAAGTAAGGGAAAGAGAGATTGACAATTTTTCTAAAATAATTCCAAATAAACTCAAGTGTTATTTCATACCCACCAGCTGTTAAGAACACCGTGCAGTATAGACAACTGGCTTTTAGCACATTTATTTCCTCTCTCTTGATTTAAAAAACTTTCTTGTAATAAAATTTGACTGCCTGGGCAGGCTTACAATAAGCCCATTCTCTTTCATGTTGTCATATGCTCAGCTTCTCCAGGTTATCGTCAGAGAGCTATTTTGCAGATTGATTTTCTTATTGTAGTTGCTGTTTCTTCTGGTGTTAGAATTTTATTTTTAATGTATGATTTAGATTACTGAAGTTATGTTCATACTTTCTTAAAAAGTCTGATTAGGATGCAAAATGTGGAGAGAAATTCTTCAGCATTAAGGAGGGTAGAGAATAATAATCGTGTTAGTGGTATTAATGAACGCAAGCTGCTTAGACATTAATTTTTTCATCCAGGAAGGAAATAATAGAAATGTCCAATTATGTGAATTGGGTTTTTAATAAAGAAAAATGTTAAAGGAAAACAGATTTACTTCTTCTTTTTAAAAACAGCATTTTTCTACTTTTAGCACCCATGTGTCTCATCATAAAAACTTTGGACATTACAGGAACATATAAAGAAAAAAGAACAATTCCAAATTCTTTCTCCATGAGAGAGCTACTTTGAACCTTCTAGTGTGTGTTTCTCTCCAGCTAAGAAAAGAGATTTCTTCAGATGGAAAGAATCCAGCTGGAAAATAAAGTGATCAGGGAAGTGACTGCCCAAAATTCAAGGGAAAGAGGTGAACCAGCTAAGAAACGTTTTAAAGCTTTCCACTCTTGCTCTGATATAATCAGTTCTTGGTAACAGAAGACAGTGTGAACTTTGAGATTGCTCAAAAATGCTTTCAGGCTCTCATAGACATGTAAACCAAAAAGTAACCGAGGCAGACCTTAATCAATTTAGGGATTTATTTTGCCAAGGTTGAGGATGTGCCCAAGACTGTGGGGCAAGAAACACAAGTCGAAGTAGGATCTGTGTCCCGTGCTTTTTTCAAAGACAGTTTTGGGAACTTCAGTATTTAAAGGGGAAAGAGCAAACAGATCAGGACACCTAATTCATCCCATGACAAAGGGGAAAATGCAAAAGGGTGTGTCTCGGCTAATCAGCCCTCCTTAAAGAGCTTTCTTTGAAGTCCCACCCCAAGAAACACCACTCATATCTCATCCGTTGTTCTTTGAAGAGAAGCTGAGAAAGTGGTTTTTTGTGGCTTAACACATTGCTGTACTTAATAAACTTGGGTTTTAGTTGGTAAGGAAGAAGGGGGATGTAGATATTTGAATGATTTAGCCAGACAAGGTTACTGATGTTAATGTGACTTCATTCTTGGCCACAGGCTGGTATGGGCTGTGTAACATATGGCTTATGTCTGCGAAGGATTTACATCTTTTGGCTATGGATATTTTTTTCCTAGGATGCTATATTTGGGTCTGTGTCTATGGCATGGAGTTTGGGGCCTGACCAACAGGCCTGAGTATTGTCAATGAAAAGAGTCAAACTTCATTGGGAGCCAAATGTAAGTGACCATTGCCCATGACATAGCCCTCAGGAGATGCTGAGAACATGTACCCTGGCCAAGGAGGAAGTCCATTCAGATGATTGGAGGGCATTAGCATTTTATTTTTGGTTTACATTCTCTCCCTTCTGGCCAAGATTAGCCAGAGGCAACATCAAAGTCCATGAAATCTTTATTTTGTCCCATAGCGTTGCTGGGGTGGCAGGACTGCCTGCCCTGGGTCCATCCTGTCCCTGGGTAGGACTCTATGGCCAAGGCACTTGAGTCAAAAGACTTACAGGCAATTAATTATTCTAGGCCAAATAGGAATGGAAGTGGACAGGCATTCATTTCCTCTTAAAATTATTATTTTAAGTAAAAAGCCAACAAACAAAAACTGAAACAAAGTTACAAAACTGACTTTAACTTCCGCGGTTGAGCTACTGAAAGCTTGGACTTAGGTTACAGATTATGACAACTAGCTATGGAAAACATAAGCATTGTTCTGAAAAAAAATTATGAAAAACATCAATCTTTGTAACTCATAACTGGGAGTATTATACCCAGGAGGCTTTCTCACAAAGTATCTTCATCCTGTCAGTAAATATTTTATATTAATTCTGTGGAAAGCAGAAAATCCTTTATGGTTGGGGTGGATGCAAAAGTGACACATAACAGCTTACAAGGCAGAGTCTTTTGTTTTACCAGCTGTTTGGGCATCTTTGTACTGCCTCCTTGATTTGGAGGATCTGACCTTGACCTAATTCTATACCTCAAAACTGGTCCTTACAATCTCAGGTGCCCACCTCTTCCACAACAGTCCGTGGGCCTAGAGGGGAAGGTGTTTATATCGTTTTAGCATCAGTATATTTGCAGTGAAAAACAGATTGGGCCCAGGTTGAGCCCAGTGGGATGCCAAATGTGGGAGATTAGCATCTCTGGTTTTCAGAATACCACAGTTTTGTTTTCCTTGGAACTAAAACAAGGAGAGATAAATAACATTATTATTTTGACAACGAAGAGAGTATGCGTATGTTAGAATAAAAAAGGAACCCATTTCATTAGGGTACCAACGAAAGACATGCAGAAAAATTATAATCTGGTATTCTCTAGAGGATTATTGTAGCCAAGAAATAATTGACTCAAAAGAAAACCAAAACACAAAAGTTAGGGCTGAAATCTAGTTACACCTTTTCTTGGAAACAATTTCTCTTTCTCTAGTCCCTGCCTTCTTTCTATTAAAGAGAAATTATAATAAGACTAATTTCTGTGCAAAGTAAGTTTTAGGCTTATTATGTTTGGCCTGATTATTTGCATAAAATTCAACAAGAATTGATTAGCCATATAGGCCCCTTTTAAGTTAGCTATGCTGGAACTTTACTTAAAAATATGTTATTTTCATTTAAGTCTTGGTAAAATAACCAGTGTCTCCAATTGTTTTCTTTTAAAACTCTTACTAGGCCGGGTACAGTGGCTCACACCTGTAATCCCTGCACTTTGGGAAGCCGAGGTGGGTGGATCACGAGGTCAAGAGATCGAGGCCATCCTGGTCAACAAGGTGAAACCCCGTCTCTACTAAAAATACAAAAATTAGCTGGGCATGGTGATGCGCGCCTGTAGTCCCAGCTACTCGGGAGGCTGAGGCAGGAGAATTGCTTGAACCCAGGAGGTGGAGGTTGCGGTGAGCTGAGATCGTGCCATTGCACTCCAGTCTGGGTAACAAGAGCAAAACTCCATCTCAAAAAAAGAAAAAAACCAAAAAAACTCTTACTAAACTTATATAAATAAGTATATTGTCATAAAATTATAATACAAATTTGGGAGAACTCAGAAAGGCCAATTTGCTTACAAAACCATACTTCACCGAAATAACTCAAAAGAAAAATATTTTCTTGACCTTTCTTTAACCAGAGAAGCAGATTTCAAGCAAGATATTTGTTCAACTTGGAAATGCCATTCATAGGCCAAACAGCTCACGAGAGCTACCTATCAGGCACTGTAGAATCTAGCAGCTCCTCCCATAGTTAGAATAAGTCCTGCGGAAAAGAGGCTCCCTGCTCATGAGCATCTCCTCCTTGCATCCCCAGATAGCAAGGTCCTATATAAGCCAATTTGTTTTATCACGGAACTCTTTCGGGCACCATTATTTCCGTTAGCATAGGGGTAGCTGTAGCTTCAGTTAACATTTCATAGCAAGGCAGTAAATGCCCCTCAAGTGGAAATTCTTTAGTTTGGTTTTTGTCATTGGGAAGTACTCACAGTCTTTTGCCATCAGCCTCAACAAATAAATGCTCCATAAAGGGCTGTGAAGTGGAGAATTTGTCCTGACTGGCACTCCAGCTTCTACCCTATACTTTGAGGGCTCAAGCAATCTTAGTAGTTCCTATGTAGTGTGTCCAATTAACATTTCCCAAGAGAGCAGATTTACATGACTTCAGCTTTATAGTACTAGATAGGGAAAACATCCCCCAGTTAGATACAATACTCATTTTCATAAGACATTTAGGTAAACGGGTTACAATTAACTTACATAAAGCCTGGTTAAACATCTTAAATTTCATAATTCTTTTAACCTATATGTTTTTATATTTCAGTCCCCCAAAGTTTTTTTTTATGCCTAGATCATTTTACCTTTTCTGGTGTTAAAAGATTTGGGTTCCCAGCACAGAGTTGCATATGTAAGACCCATGAAAGACAACAAATTTGGCTGGGTGTGGTGGCTCATCCCAGCACTTTGGGAGGCCAAGGCAGGTGGATCATGAGGTCAAAAGATTGAGACCATCCTGGCCAATATGGTGAAATCCTGTCTCTACTAAAAATACAATAATTAGTAGTCCCAGTTACTCTGTAGGCTGAGGCAGGAGAATCACTTGAACCCAGGAGCAGAGGTTGCAGTGAGCCGAGATCGAGCCACTGTACTCCAGCCTGGAGACAGAGCGAAGACTCTGTCTCAAAAAAAAAAAAAAAAAAAGAAAGAAAGAAAGAAAGACAGCAAATTTGATAAAGCTCCTCAAACAATCTTTTAATTCTGTGGAAGGGGTACCCATGTAAAAGGGTGCCCCTTTTTCACCTTTTCTGGTGAAAAAAGATTTGTCCTGACTGGCACTCCTTCCCCACAAAATTCACCATGACCTGGGTAATAGGTATATTCGGTGGGAGGATATCCCAGTCATTATAAGGCCAGTCCAGGCCGGACGCGGTGGCTCACGCCTATAATCCCAGCACTTTGGGAGGCCGAGGTGGGTGGATCACGAGGTCAAGAGATCAAGACCATCCTGGTCAACATGGTGAAACCCCGTCTCTACTAAAAATACAAAAAATTAGCTGGGCATGGTGGTGCGTGCCTGTAATCCCAGCTACTCAGGAGGCTGAGGCAGGAGAATTGCCTGAACCCAGGAGGCGGAGGTTGTGGTGAGCCGAGATCGCGCCATTGCACTGCACCCTGGGTAACAAGAGCGAAACTCCGTCTCAAAAAAAAAAAAAAAAAAAAAAAAAAAAAAAAAAACCAGTCCAACATGGCTTGCATATGCAGCATATTAACAACTTCATCTGGGGTGCTCCACTTGGTATTTTATAGGGGGAGTTGGGCAGTTCCCTTCTCAGGGCAAAGAGACTTTACAGTTGTGATTTTCTGGTTCACTAGGCTGGTTCTCTCAGGAATCAGGGATAACCCCCTGTGTATTTGGATCACATATGTTCAGTGATTGTTCAGTAGTGAGCTGTGTGTCCTACATTAACCCAAACAAGCTCTTAAATTCTGTAGCATTTAAAATTAAGGCTTTTGTCCTTAAAGTAGTTATTTTTATTATTTTATTATTTTTTTGAGACAGAGTCTCACTTTGTCGCCAGGGCTGGAGTTTAATGGTGTGATCTTGGCTCACTGCAACCTCCGCCTCCCTGATTCAAGTGATTCTCCTGCTTCAGCCTTCTGTGTAGGTAGGACTACAGGTGCCTACCACTACGCCCAGTTAATTTTTTGTATTTTTGGGGGGGCGGGGCTAAAGAAAAGAAAAATTAATAAATTTTTTGTATTTTTAGTCACCATGTTGGCCAGGCTGGCCTCAAACTCCTGACCTCATGATTCACCTGCCTCAACCTCCCAAAGTGCTGAGATTACAGGCATGAGCCACTGAACCTGGCCTAACGTAGTTATTTTTACAATCCATTATAGTAAAGATTTCTCTAGAAGCCGATGATACCAACTTACAAAATGGAAAAATTCCCCTACATTATATCTTCTGTTTTTAATAATTACTTGGTTTTGCTCTTCCCTCATATTTATCGTCTTCTTGATAACTATAAGTCTCAGAGTCCAAACTTTCATTGCCCTAGCTTAAGTTTTCTTTTTATCCACTTAGTTTTGTCTGTATAATTTTTCCTTCATTTTAAAGCAACTCTTGAATAGTTTCTTAACTAGAAAAAAAAAAAAATCCTACACTTTCTTTAGCAAAAGCCACATCCTTGTGTTTTATAAACTTCACCAAAAACATATTTTATGCTCCTACTATTTTAACTCTTAGTAACTCAAATTCCCAGTGAAAAACTTGAGGGTTTAACATGACTTTAAGATTTTAAACTACTAAAAATAACTTTTAGATTACATTTACCAAATTAATCTTACCAAAGATTACTAAGGTTATGTGAATTAAAAGCATCTCAACTATGCTCTACCAATCTAATAACCACTACTTCTTTGAAAAACTCAATTTGTTAGTTTTTTCATATAGTTTGAAATTTCCCTAAATCTGTTTCAGCTGTAGGTAAGGTTAAATCCTTCTCCCATGACCTGGATTTTCAGGTTTCCCAGTGGAGATGTGGTTTGAAGGCTGCTTTTTCCTCCTCTTATGCTTTGGAAACTCACAATTTTTTGGCTCTCTTGTGGTGTCTGCAGTGGCAAGCCGCTTCTTTCAAAAAGTCTTTAAATTCTGTTGGTTTTCCTGGTATTTTCTTGGAGTAAAAGTTCACAATGTGTCTTCAGACACTGTTC